TGTGTACTTTGATCATGACTTTATTACTCAAAACAACGATAACGTATCGCTAATTATAAAGTGTAATAAGATACATTAATTTCACTCATAGTGTACCTACCTAAAGCTAAGGACTCACAGCGACATTTCCTCAGGCGCCCGCCGCTGTTACAAGCCCGCAGCTTATGTAATTCTACAAAAGCGTGATTCCATCAAAACCCTGTTTTCGTCCACTGCTGGAAATAAGCCTCTCCAATGGCACGCCACTAAGCTCGGTGTTCAGCTCTACGCATCCAACCACTGCCAGTCACCTTGCGGATGTCGTCACTCCACCTCCGGACGTTTGCCTAGACGCGGTCTCCACTCTATAACACGTCTACCCCAGCGGTCATCGGTTCTTCGACAAATATGACCGGCCCACTGCCATTTCAGCTTCCTAATTCCAAAGAATTAGGAAGCTGAAATGGCAGTGGGCCGGTAGCCCAAAGGCTACATCGGTAACTTTAGTTCTCTGTCGTATCACCTCGTTACGGATCCTATCCTTCAGAGATACTCCGAGCATAGCCCTCTCCATAGCTCGCTGCGCCACCTTAAATTGGTGAGGTTTTGTTGAGTACAGATATGTATGTGGGTAAAATAACAAAGTAATTTTCATGGCGCCTTTTACGACCGCAGCGGTTGTGATTGTTAGCGGGTCCCGTGGGGACCACCGCGGACCTGCAGCCGCAGCGGCTAGGAACCGCACGCTCTGCGGTCGGTTGGCGGGCGATCGCAGTGGGACAGCTGGTCCGAAAGCCAACTGATTATTTCACCGCCTGCTTGTCTTGCAGTAATCAACTGCCAAGTTTGTGGTGTGGGCGATAATCGCAATAAATTGTGGATTGCAAAAAACTGCGGTCTCGTGAATTTTGAAAATTCCACTTGTAATTTTGCATAATTTCTAAGTTACCAGATATAGAATTTTAAGTCAAGACAAAATACTTCTTATCATTACATGGTTGATGCGTACAGTATCAGTATTAATTATTCAACCGATGTCATTGACCTCCTACTCCGGCGTATGTTTAGACAACTTGTGAATATAATAACATTTACAATTCAGATGTTGGGCCTCCATTTCATTACAAATCTTGCGGTAACGTCTATGTTCTTATTCTTGATAGAAGGAATGTCAGTTCCGTGCATTTAAACCTTTTTTTGCTCTGTTGTTGCGTAAGAGTGTGATTCGACTTTCAAATAAATTCTCATGTTTGGAATAGAATAGAATAATCTTTATTGTACACCATTAATAATATAGGACTTATACAAAAAAGATATAACAAACATTAATTTTCAACATTTAAATTCGACTGCACGGTTGGTACGGTGGCTGGGCAACCGGCTGCCGTGCAACGTGTCGCGGGTTCGATTCCTGCACGGAACGGCACTTTGTGTGATCCACAAATTGTTGTTTCGGGTCTGGGTGTCATGTGTATGTGAACTTGTATGTTTGTAAACGCACCCACGACACAGGGGAAATCCTAATGTGGGGAAACATTTAAAATCGATATTTTTTTTATTAGAGTGGTTCAAAATCGTAACTTTGCGAATGTTGGATGTAGTTCGACCAGTTCTATTATAAGCAGTATGGTTTAACGTTCGCTTCGTAGTTTGTGAACACATAATCAATTATTTGAATACGTCATACAAATTAATATTACAAAAAAAACAAAATCTTCTTCATACAGCAATCCAGACTGTCATATAGAAACCATTTCATACATACTAATACATTTCAATATCTATACAGGCATGTCGCTACATGACAATAAAATGGGAATCCCACATTTCTAGTAAATAGGGGATAGACCGGATAGAACATAACTCGATAAACGAATTGCGGTTGGAAGGGTAAGGAATAGATTTTAAGTGCTAGGAGGTCTCGTATTTCCGGCCGGAGAGTGACGTGCGGACTAACAAATGTAGCGAAACTATGTATATAAATATTTCTTAGTACTGCTTTTTCGGATTAACTTGTAAAGATGTTATAGTTAAAATGTCGTTTCAATTTTTTTTTTCATCGGTATTTTTTATAGGGTTAGTTTCGATTACTTTCAACGTAAAATAAACTCTACTACTATGCATACTGGTGCATAAATATAGTTGAAGTTGAACTTCGGGATTTTTTTATGGCATAAGCCGGTAAACGAGCAAACGGATCACCTGATAGTAAGCAATCGGCGTCACCCATGAACACCTGGAACACCAGAGGCGTTACAAGTGCGTTACTGGCCTTTTGGGGATTAGGAGTTTGAGGATCGTTGGGGATTCAGGGATTGGGGAGGTTGGAGAAGGGGAGGGTAATTGGGCCTCCGGTAACCTCACTCACACGACGAAACACAACTCAAGCGTTGCTTCACGTCGGTTTTCTATGAGGCCGTGGTATCACTCCGGTCGAGAAGGCCCATTCTTGCCGAAGCATGGCTCTCCCACACTTTAAAGGGATATAATAGAGGTGCTGCATGACGTTTGCCGGGTCGTGTGTCGCGCAATGCCACTGTGTTTTGAAACTAGTCGAGGGCCATGAGATAGTTACCTACCAGAGTTACCTACCTAAATTGTATAGTTAACTTTTCTATCGGTAGGTACTTACAATTTACGCTAAAATCCAAAACAGACAAAGATAATAACATAACATAATACCACGCCTTTTATCCTCGAAAGGGTAGGCAAAGGTGCACATTATACCTCTGTACAATGTAACACCCACTTTTCAGTATTTATGTTATGAGTCCCATGTAATAGGGGGTGAGACTATTGCCATATACCGGGCACAGTTCCAGAGTCCGTGCTACTACTCAGAATTTTTAAAAACCCAATAATCCTTTGCCCGTCCCGGGAATGGAACCCGAGACCCCTTGCCCAGCTGTCGCAATTGCGACCACTCGACAACGAGGCAGTCAACAAAGATAATAATTATTCATTATTTCGATCCACATTTTCTGACACGTGGTGAAACGTCTAAAACGACGTCACAGCGATTTATATATCAAACTAGCTTCTGCCCGCGACTTCATACGCGTACCATCCCATTTTTTCCGGTCCCCGTTCGTGATTTTCGGAAAAAAGTAAATAAAAAAATTGGTTAAAAAGTATCCTATGTCGGTCTCCTGGCTCTAAGCTATCTCCCTACCAATTTTCAGCCAAATCTATTCTGCTGTTCTTGAGTTATATGTGGTGTAACTAACACGACTTTCTTTTATATATATAGATATATTGTATCAAAGACAATTAAACAATGTGTACAATATTTAGTATTATCATATTCCCCAAGGCGTTGCGTATTTTTGTAATTACTTGACACAACATTTGTTAAACAATTAACTGAGTAGGGTCTCAAACAAGGCCTTTGATTTTGAACTCTCAACCTTAATTAACTTAGTATTATAGTTAAATATTAATTTGGCAATGATTTGTATAAAGATTTTCGTTTCTTTTATTAATGAATGTCTGAAACTAAAATGTCGTCAAATTAAAGATTTTTATTAACTTGTTATATGTCAAAAACAATCATGTTTCTTCAGTTAGAGTAACATTTAACATTTTATTGGGAATTAGTAAAATTATTCTATTAGTTTATTTCTGAATAAGTTATATTACAAGAATAGTAGTTTATTAAATTTAATAAATGTAAGCAATTTTGTTTAATATACAACAATATTAAGTCGTTTAGTATATAATAATCTGTCTGACTACAACAATAGAGATTTCATTAAAGTAGGGCACGATTTGTACTCGTACAATATCAAGTTACTATTTAGATAAGAAATACAATATACTATTAAGTGTCATTTAGTGATTTCGAAAATATCATGATAAATATTAACAGATCGGACTGTAACTTGGAAGATACGCAACAATAAAAAAAATATTTCCATGCAGGGAATAAATGCATGAAAACCAAAACCCCGTTTCTAGTAATCAGGTAAAAAAACCTAGGAAGTAGTACACACACACACTACAATAAGTGATTAGGTATACACGGCCACACATCAATCTATACAAAACCAGTTTATCCTGGTGTCGCGTCGCATCATCTTTCCGCACATTCAACGTTCAGTTTATACTGGTTATGTAAAGCTCGATTTGTAGCCGTGTGTACAAGAAATACAGACATTATATAAAACAAATATAGAAATATAAGAAAAGATGAAACTAACGTATAGAAATACAGAAAGCGTTTACAACAAAACATTTCTATTTTCGACAATCTATACTTATAATAAATCTGTAGAGAGGTCAATTCTGTACATAAAATATATTTAAAAAATAACTATCAAGGGGTGGTTAGGGATCGCTACTGATGCCAAAAATGCAATCAGTAAGATTTTTGTCTGTCTGTCTGTCTGTCTGTATGTTCGTTATGGAAACAAAAACTACTAGATGGATTTTAATGAAATTTGGCACAATTATTCTTCATACTCTTGGGCAGGTTATAGTATACTTTTCATTACGCTACGATCAATAGGAGCAGAGCAGTGAAGGGAAATATTGGGAAAACGGAAGAAGTTACTCCATTTTTTAAGCTTCCATCGCGTGTGCAGGCTTATGTTTGTTACTCAGTCATATTAAAACGAGTGAAGGGACCGGAATGAAATTCGGAACAGAGCTAGACTATGGTCTGAAATGATACATAGGCATTTTACCCCTGGGATCGCGGGCGAAGCCGCTGGCAGAAGCTAGTATAATAATAAGTACTTTACAATATATAATAAGTACTTTCTTTTACAAAAATACACACCAATTAGAAAATACAATGCTACTAAAAAGAGCAAAAATACTATAGGTAAATAAAAATTTTGCGAACCGAAACCGGCTATCAGAAGAATGCAATATTACAGTTAGGTATTACCTAACCTAGTTATCTCTTTGATAGTCATTCAACTTTGACCGTCCGGCTAAACGATGACGATAGTACCGTATAATTTAGTTATCGTCGAAACCTTGAAGTGTACACTACGTAACCAGTTGAGTTCGCCAAGATGGGAGATGAGAACTGTACGTATATTTTTTTGTAATATGTATTAGTGAGTTGAAGTTTTTTGCAAAATCATTATTTTTGGGTCTAGGAACACCTGGGTACTCTTGAAACCAATCTCAATGTCAATGCAATAACTATTTAATTTCTAAACTATACAACCCCTATCGTAGCTATTAAAATAGCATTCAGAGTACGAAATATGAAGCCAAATTTAATACCATTTAGTTCATTCAATATCCATGTAATACGGATGCAATGGGCGCTAGTATTGCAAATCAAGAGTACGAAATTTTACAATACCAATGTCGATAGATCGGAATTTGATTCAAGAGTAAGCCCCTGGACTATGGGCTAGGAACTCTTAGAAAGTGATTTATAAAACATTTTGAATTACCTATTACTTAAATAAAATATTTGTTTAATAATATTTCGTGATCATTTGTTATCCGCACGGCGCTATCATTGCATATTGAGTATTTATAAAAATGTTATGCACTTATTCTGTTTTGTTATTGCATCAGTGCCTAGGTATCTATTTATCGACTTCAATTGTTAATCTATAATTTTTTATTCTTTGTACAAATAGTATTATAGTCGTTCGTTGAAGGATGTACAGATCTTTCAACGAATAATGTATTCTCTTAAGTTGGCCTCGAGATTAGTAAAAATATGTCACATAACCTTTTTATAGTATTCATACACATCTAACTGACTGCACGGTTAATGCGGTGGTTGGGCAACCCGCTGCCGTGCAACGTGTCGCGGGTTCGATTCCCGCACGGAACAACACTTTGTGTAATCTACAAATTGTTGTTTAGGGTTTGGGTGTCATTGTGAATGTGAACTTGTATGTTTGTAAGCGCACCCACGACACAGGAGAAAATCCTAACGTGGGGCAACGTTTTTTTAAACAAAAAAAACATCGTCACAACAGACTCTCCTTTTCATTCCCTCCCATTTTCAATTCGTTATCAAAACCAAAAGATCGATAACAAATTCCGTCCGAAATGTCTTGTTAAAATATTGCAGTAGCCAGCAGCACCAACGAACCAATCTTCGTTTTAATTTTCTGGAAACTCGTTCAACTGTACCCAGGTGTTGGCGATAAAATCCATTTGGCTCGTCCAATCCGGATCTTTGTGACTATAAACTGGTTGGATTTCATTAACAAGTTTTATTTGCACAGCCATCCAAACGGTGACACTCTCCGCGGACAGGGCCCTCGTCGCGACCTTCGGAAATGGAAAGTCAATCAGATTCGAGGACTGTTGGCTTAGAGACCACTGCAGGTATAAACTATTGTTAAACTTTTAATGGATTTCTTGAAAATATTTTCTAATTAATTAAAGTACCGGTAACTTGTCAGTCTCTTACTTTTAATATTTTTTTAGCTGTCAATCTTCATTTGTATTGAAATTGATGAGTTTAGTTGGACGGTGGAATCTTTGGAACTGTCAGTGATATTTTTTTAGCATTTTGTGACTCAGTTTTTGAGAAACATTATCTTGAAATAAGTTTTTATCGATAACGGAAAAAATATGTAGACCAAATCGCTAAAGATAGCTTAAACTGTCAAACACCGCGAATACACCGGTGACCGCAACCTATTGTTCTTTAATTGTGTCTATAATAACGGTACTCAAAACGTTAATCCATGTTCCAAATTAAAAAAAAAACACCATTCGAAGTCCCGACCCAGTTGAGGGTAGGTCAGGAAAAGTAAATGAAGATAGTCAATAGCCAAACTTGAGAAATGGTCTATTTATGGAAACCAACTGATCTATTTATCATTGGAATTCCAATGAAACGAAATTTGTCAAATCGCAAACATATCAAAAGGGTACCAATCTAATTAATTAATCTGTTTCAAGTTGATTGATGTAATTTAATTTGAAGTTAAATAATTTTCCGAATAAACAGGAATTAGTAAAGTTATTTCTAAAGATAGAAATAGATGAATGTGTATCTTATCTGAATCTGAGAAACAGTTACTTCATAAATAGCTGATGACTGCAAGAGTGTTAAACAAAGGTCTTCTCCGAAAGAGGGAATTTGCATAGTTTCCGACAGCTAGCTACTTGATCAAAAATGTAGCGGTTAGTTGAAATGTAGCGGACCAGTTAGTAACAAGACTGACTGCCTCATTAGCCGACTGATCCCAAGAGCGACTGCCGGGCAATGGGTCTCGGGTTCGATTCCCGAGACAGGCAAAGCCTTACTGGGTTTTTTAAATAAAATCTCAGTAGTAGCACGGATTTTGAAATTGTGCCCGGTATATAGCAATAGGCTCACCCTATTATATGGGATTCATAACATAAATAGTGAGAAGTGGGTGTTACATCATACAGTAGTATTAAATGCCATAAAGGTGCACATACCTTTGCCGACCCCTTTGGGGATAAAAAGGCGTGAAGAGATGTAAACGGTTCCACTTTTAAATAGAATATAATACAAACGTTTCAGATGTTCATCTTGCTACCATGCTAGTACCTTCCAGAGAGCTCACCACATTCTGGCCATCCCTGACGTTACTATCAGTAGCTACGAATTCGATAAGAAGAAAATTGATATTGAATGTAAGTACGATGTTATACATTGTGTTGCCAAAAGATAAAAAGGGATTTCTTTGCCGAAGTTGATTCATAAAATTTATCTAAACTAGCACCTGCGTGATCTCGCATATATTTTGTAGGGACTTAAAGTAATTATTGCTTATACTTACTTATAAATGACAAGACTTCGACCGGAGTGATACCACGGCCTCAGAGAAAACAGCTGTGAAACAACGCTTGCGTTGTGTTTCGTCGTGTGAGTGAGGTTACTGGAGGCCCAATTACCCCCTTCCTCAATCTCCCCAATCCCCGAATCCCCCACAATCCTCAAACTCCTAATTCCCAAAAGGCCGGTAACGCACTTGTAACGCCTCTGGTGTTTCTGGTGTCCATGGGCGACGCCGATTACTTACCATCAGGTGATCCGTCCACCCGTTTACCGGCTTATCTCATAAAAAAAATATTTTTCATTTCAGGGAGTGACGACCACAAATCGACATACACAGCTGAATTCCTTTCACAATTTGATTACAACACTTGGAAGGAAAGTCGGAAACTAAAACCTATTTTATGGAAAGGAGCCAGTATAGAAAGTAAAATCGCAACAATACCTGTGAATGATTTTTTAACAACCAAAGATGGCACTACGCGCGTATTCCAGTCACTGCTTGATTATGGCGTAGCTTTAATAACAGGGGTAATTGTTACATTTCCATACAATTGCACGTACACTAAACACTGGGTAGGCAGAGGTGCACATTACGGCACTTAATGCCACTATACAATATATAACGCCCACTTTTCACTATTTATGTCATGAGTCCCATTAAATAGGGGGCACATTTCCGGACTCCGGGCTACAACGAAGTTTTTTTTTAAAACCCAGTAATACTTTGTCCGACCCGGGAATCGAACCCAAAACCCCTTGCACGGCAGCCACACTTGCGACCACTCGGCCACGGAGGCAACAACTAATGAGCAATTAGTTACCTATTGATGGTCTAAAATAGCACGCGGTGAAAAACATTAGACATGCCAATAGGGTAGATGCCTAATTTATATTGTAACTAATGTCCGTCTGGTAGATTATTTTAAATCATTAAACACGTATTTTTTATTTTCTTACAGAAACGAATACTTTGGACGATATGTTGATTTGAAATGTCACGTGACGTCACTTCTATGTACATTTAATGCGTAGAAATGACGTTTTAGCCCTCACTTCTAAACTTTAATTCGTTTTATCTAAGTATTGTTTTATTATACGACAAAATAAAAAAATACGTGTCTAATATTTTTTCATTACCTAACTTTCGGACTAATTAGATTTTTAATTTTCATACCCTGTCATCATCCCAATTATGAAATGGAATTCAACAATTAGGGAATAGTAGGTTAACAGTTTAATATACACCATAATATGGTCTAAAATCACTGTAGACTGACTGAATGACTATATTTTTGCAGGTTGAAGCTACATCAGAGGCGACTGAAGAGGTTTGCAAGGCTCTGGGTGGTGTTCAACATACAATCTTTGGCGGAATGTGGGAGTTCACCACGAGGGCAGACCATGCGGATACTGCTTACACCAATTTACCTCTAGCTGTCCATAATGATAACACATATTTCACTGAAGCAGCTGGGTAAGTAGTTTGACGATTTATTTTAAAAATTATTATGTTTTCACTTTACTCACGTAATAATTTGACGAGGAACTCGACTAGTAGTGGCTTGACCATGCTAGAGGCTCATAATCATGAGCACATGATATGCTGCTCATGAATATGAGGAGTGAGTAAGCCGAAAACATAATAATTTATTTAGTATGTTTCACGAAAGTTACAATACATTTTAAAAATTGTTCAGAATCGAAAGTAAAATAAGTATTTTAAAATACAGACGCATTTCCAATAGTTTTTGATGATTATTCTATTTTATTGTTGTCCCAGATCTTTGTGTGATCTTTGACTGCTTCGTTGACCGAGTGGTCGCAAGTGCTACTGCCGGGCAAGGTCTCGGGTTTGATTCCCGGGTCGGGCAAGGTACTACTGGGTTTTAAAAAAAATCTTAGTAGTAGCACGGAGTCTGGAATTGTGTCCGAAATAAGGCAATAGGCTCATCTCCTATTACATGGGACTCATAACATAAATAGTGAAAAGTGCGTGTTACATATGGCATAATGTGCTCCTCTGCTATCCCTTTGGGGATAAAAGGCGTGATGTTCTGTTATGTCATCTTTGTGTTTGTGTACTATATATATGAGAATTTATACCTTTGTAAACATTATATGAATAGAGAAAATAGACTTTACTTTTGTTTGAGTTGTAGATCGTATACAAAGTATTATTACATCAGACAGGCTAAAATATTAATCCCCAAAAAGTAACAACTTATTTTTCCCAAAATCTTCCAAAGGCATTTTAATTGAAGAGAGAAAAGCCTCCGTCGTTCGCAATTTCATGAATAGCAATTAATAATATTCTTTAATTCCCTTTCCCTTCTGCTTTAATATTTTGGAAAGATTTATAGGAATTCTTCGACCTGCGACCGTAGATAAATAATTCAGGAAAAATAACAATAATGTATTTTAGATATAGTAATTAATGTGCAATTGAATTTCCTTGATAAAATGGTCGGGAAAAAATGGTGGTGGATTCGATGACATTTCTTGTAGAAATGTGTAAATGAACTCTTTCTGAAACGAAGTAAAGTTTAGTTTACTTTTTGTTATTTTTGCAATAAACATCGCATTCTAAGATTATTCAGACACCACTGACAAACGGTGAAGGAAAACATCGTGAGGAAACCTGGGCTTATAATTTCTAATTATAAGTTTGTAATCACCAACCCGCATTTAACAAGCGTGGTGGTTAGTGCTCGAGCCTTCTCCGTGTGAGAAGAGGCTTTGCTCAGCAGTGGGCATTTAAAGGCTGTTGATGATGACATCGCATACGAACACAAATCTTCATCAAGCCTTCCTTTCAAATATCAACCAAAGTATTTCCTTTACTGCGATGACTTTAATGAAATTTGATCCTAACATTCCTCGTTATGGTTGCGTTACAATCATTAAATCAGCGAGCGATTTCAATTTCCAAAAGAAACTTTGAAAGGAAACATAATTGTAATAATGAAGTTAGTTATTTTTGCAAGAGCCTATTTCTGACCCACTTTAACAGGATCCTTTCCGTCATTATTATTTCAGAGTCAATTCGGAAAAGCTTTTGTTTGTTGGTCGCTTTCAAATTCTGTTTAGCAATTCGTTTACGGGTGCTCAAGCATTCAGCTTCCGTTCCTGTTATAGCACTCTCGTCGAGTAATAGCGAGGTCTCATTGCCTTTACTGACTCATTTCAATCCGTACTAATATAAGGAATGAGATAGCAAGTCTTATCTATTTGATTTCTTCAGTTGACTTTTAGTTTTGTGTCTTACAGAGAATAAGGCCATTTCTTTACTTTTTTTAGATTACTTTATTGTTAACCACATAGTAAAGCGTGACTTACAATTTCAACCAAAATCGTGGGTTGACATTGGTATAAATCGTAGTTAAATTCATCGCCCTCACCACATATCGCTTGATTTATAAAGATCTTCGCCTTTTTCATCGTCGAGTGATTTCCCTTTTTGCTTTAACGCGCCTCAAATAAAAATGTTTCCGAATATTCTAACGCGATTTAATGAGACTGTGTCATTTTTATTTTCGGTGAAATTGGATTTTATTTAGGAAACATTTTGTTAAAAAGATCAAATCTGACGTTTGAGGTTAACCTCAAAAGAAGTATGATACCGTGTATGGAATATGTAACGAAGATTATATGGCATATTATTATGCTAAGTTAGGATATCAGATACAAGCTTCAGACACGTCTCTGAATAGAAGAACCAGCCAACCAAATTACAAGATAATGTTTATTACGTTTTTCCACGGAATATGATCACTTTTTTATCTGTTAGGTACTCTATATCCGTACATACGGCTGTAATCTAGTACACTACTATTATGTTCTCTTTATGTTAGTAGGCTATTGTTATGTACAAATGTACACAATTGTACAAATGTAGGAGGAGGAATGAAAGGGTCAATATTCATTATTTCTCTTTTGCATACATCTTTTTACAGTTTAATCAACTGACTTATTTTATCTTGTCACTGCTTGAAACCTGTATTCTTCTTTATGTCATGTGTTAGTAGATGGAGTATAGCTAATTAAGTAGATCGTTTTTTCTTAAATACTTCGTAAACATAAACAAAATCTTATATTTCGACAGATTACAAATCCTGCATTGTCTGAAGCATGCTCAGGGCACCGGTGGTGAAACATTACTGGTAGATGGTTTCTTCGGGGCCCAAGAGTTGAAGAGAGAGCATCCAGAAGATTTTGAATTTCTCTCAAAATTTAATTTGGAAGCAGAATATATAGAAGAAGGACATCATCACACTTATTCTGCACCTGTTATAGAATTGGATAGTGAGACACAACAACTCGTTCAAATTAGGTATGAAGAAACCTAAAAACAACAATTTTAGGAATTTTTTTATTAATACGTACAAAATTTTATTAGTAAACGAATTATCCAATTTTATATCTTAATCAATTATCATGAGAGTTAAGGATTACAGTTCAGAAAAAGAGCATTATGATAAACCATAATACGAACTAACTTTTTATAAGAAAATATTTATATTTTTGAATTCATAGTAAGTAGCTTCATAAGTGGACACTTTGTGCAGGTTCAACGTGTACGATCGAGCTGCGATGGCTTTCAAGAGCAGTGAAGAGTGCCGATCATACTATCGCTCTTTGAGGAATCTAGCAAAATACTACGAAGATAAGGGCAACCAATGGCAGTTCAAACTAAGACCGGGTAAGGATAAATTCTTTTATAGCTGATAAAAACAAAATTATTATAAGTGCCTCAAACTTTAAATTAACTTCATTAACTCGTCGAGTACCGTATTTATGGACACAATTAAAGAACAATAGGTTGCGGTCACCGGTGACCGCTTGGTGTTTGACAGTTTAAGGAAAGGTATTGATGTTTTTTTTGTGAATTGCTGTAACACATTCGCAAATCAAGCAACAAGTAAATAAAATTGAAAATTTAATCAGTTCGTTAGTATGAGATAGCATGAGGTGCTGGTTAAAAAATTGTTTAAATTAGCAACAAACTGGGGTAGGTTATAATCTATCAATTGACTCAATCCTGTATTAGACTACTAAATCTCCCCAATCTCCGAATCCTCTACAATCTTATACTATTATTTAAAGCGGAAGAATTTGTTTATTTGAACGCGCTAATCTCAGGAACTACAAGTCTGATTTTAATAATTCTTTTTGTGTTGGATAGCGCATTTTTAGGGGATGGCTATAAGCTATAAAACATCACGCTACGACCAATAAGAGCTAAGCAGAGCGTGTGAAACCGCGTGGAAGTAGCTAGTCCTCAATATATGACTAAGCATTATTATTTTATTTTCAGGTACTGTGATGGCGATGGATAACTTCAGGGTTCTTCACGGTAGAACAGGATTTTCAGGCCACAGAGTGCTTTGCGGCAGTTATGTGTCCCGATCTGACTGGCTGGACAAAGCAAGGAGTTTAGGACTAATACAATGAAGAAATATATTTTTTTACAACTTATTGGGTTTTTTACCGTTATTTACCTACGTTTGCAAAAAATATTTGTTGTTAAGTTACTCATCACGCCTTTTATCCCCGAAGGGTTATCAAAGGTGCACATTATGGCATTTAATGCCACTATACAATGTAACATCTACTTCTCACTATTTCAGCACAATTCCGGACTCCGTGCTACAACTGAGAATTTTTTAAAAAACCCAGTTATACTTTGCCCGATACAGGAATCGAACCCTTGCTCGGCAGTCGCACTTGCGACCAGTGGCAGTGTTAAGTTACTTTTTACATTAAACGTAGTAATAGTACAATAAATCCGTCAAATCCAGAAACCACTACCACGTTGGTTAAGGCCCTACTCCCAAGTATGTATACGGTCCTACTCCAAGATACATATAACAGGATCACTTAAACCGACTGCGTATTCGAAAACCATGTAATCCGGTCGCCATTTCCCCCATAAATCTGCCTCAAGTTTTATATTCGTCGAGCATAAGGGATGTCTTCAATACGGAAGCTAAAATACCATAAGATTACTGTCACACCTACGTTTATGGCTTCCATAAAATAATGTCCTTATTACAAAGCGACGTGACGTCATGTTACGTCAAATGTTTATGGGAGTTTGTGTTACATTTTGACGTCATGTACAGATTGTTATGTGTTATAGATTTGACTCCCATTAACAATGTGTGACGTACTATATACATATGTATATATGTCGCAGAGAACCTAACGGGTAACCGGGGCTCCGGCTCGACGTGCAGGAGAAGGAACGGGGGGGTTTTTAGTCAGTAAGAGTCTGACACTTCCTCCTGTCTCACCCAGGCGGGAGCAGTCACTCGATGATGTTCCCCGCTTAAAAAAAACTATATACATATGTCGTGGTGGCTCGGAGGTTTAAGACGTCCGCTTCTCGTGCATGGACGGTGCGGCTTCGGAACCTACCGACGTGACGGCAAGTAACAATGTGACTTTTTCCGTGTTACATGTGTACTTTCCAAAATTATTTAGACGCCACTGAAAAGCGGTGAAGAAAAACAATGTTAGGCAGGTTTCTTAAGGATTATAATTTCCAATAATACGTTTGTAATCGTCAACCTGGATTGAGAAAGCGTGGTTATTAATGCTCAAATCTCCATGTGAAAAGAGGCCTGTGGTCAACAGTGGCTGTTTATAGGCTGTTGATGTATGATGTGACGTATTTTTGACTTTTTACTGCTAATGCTTCTCCGTATAATAATATGAAAGTGCGTGATTCTTATTTAGATAAACAGATCATTTATGCGACTTAAAATAACAATCAGCTACCAAGTTTAAGCTTAATGAAGATTAGACTCCTATAGAGTTATGCCCAATGTAGTTCACGGCCTCACATAAAACCGACGTGAAACAACGCTTGCGTTGGGTTTCGTCGTGTGAGTGAGGTTACTGGGCCTCCCCAATTACCTCCATCCCCAGTCTCCCCGATCCTCGAATCATACACAATCCTCAAATTCCCAATTCCCAAAAGGCCGGTAACGCACTTGTAACACCTTGGTGTTCCAGGTGTATATAGGCGACGCCGAATGCTTCAGGTGATCCGTCTGCTCGTTTACCGGCTTATGCCATAAAAGTACTAACAACTATGTAACGACCTACAGAGAAATTAAAAACAATAATAACCCGAAATCTTTGCCTTCTATAGCATCATATCTACGAACACACCGACCTAGGTACAATTCAACCAAGTTTAAATCTTAACACTCCTCTAAATAACGAAACTAAAACTCGCCCGTTTCCCAGTCTAGTATTAGTACTTTGATCAAAGCAGAAATAATGGAGGATAAGTCTCTAAGTACAATGTAGGAAGTTCCTCGTTGTTTCTTAGTTTGTCATGATAGATCACTTTAGTAGTTCATTCATCTTAATACTTTTGGTACAGGCGCGAACTAAAGTAAAAGTGTCCGTTGAAATGATTGATTGGAACTCTATGTTGCCACTAGGTTGCTGAAAAGAAATATTGTTTGTATAGTACCTTTACCAAATATTTTTGGTTTTTTATTGGCTGGGGTTGGCTGTCTATATATCTATCTAATTTTGGACTAGGTTAGGAAACATAGCAGAGAGATCTCATCTAAGAATGGAAATAGAAGTCCAAAGAGGTTTTCATTAGCAATGATGATGTACGCTGAAACCCTATACACGGTGCTGCTACACAACTTCTGAATAATGAAGCAAACTATTGTTAGTAAAAAATATATAAATACCACAGTACAGATCATTACATATATTGACATGCAGTTTAGTAATCACACAAACACACACACACACACACACGTTCACACCAGACAATTGAACATAAAAAATTACTTTCAACAATTGAATATGTCGTAACATATGGATATGCAATCAATTCTACAAACGTACCTCCATACATAATTACCTACTTCTTACTAAGCCTTCGTGGTGGAAATAATAGCGAGCGACCCAATAAATACGAGTAGGTTTCCACTTCGCATAGTCTCATTTTAAGTAAAGTTGTCACGACTAAGTGTTTGCAAAACGTCTCAAGTTCGGGGTCGTTGCGAAGTAAATTGTGGAAGAGCTTTCTGCATGTTTATATAACCTTGCGGAAGAAACTGATTTTAATTTATTATTAAGTTTTCTTTAAGTAAAAACGCGGGTTACTCACGTGAATATACTGAAAAAAGCTCTACTAGTTTCGAACCACAGAGGGGTTCTTCCTCATGAGCAGCGTGCGCGGTCGCGGCGACGTCGCGCAGCTCACTCATGATGATGAGTCGAGTAACCCGCGTTTTTACTTAATTTAGTATGTCTCACGATAGTTATTATAAAAACGAATTTTTCTTTATTTAAACTTGTATACTCAACTTTTATTATTACTAGGAAGTAGGTACATATCAGGTACAAAATTAAATTTTCGATTATATGGAATTGTTAGGTAAAATATGAATAGGTGAGGAATTAAAGAGACAACTAATTCAGGTTGGTTAAATCAAACAGTAACGCTTTTTTTCCTAAGTTTTTTTCATAATGATTATAAAATTCAAGATTTTGGTAACTTTATTATAAGTCACTAACAACTGGAAAAAGAAATGACTCGGCGGCTCCCGCGGCTCGAATGCGCGAAAGCGAGCCGCCGAGTCAACAACAGCGGTACAATGTCGAGTGTGATTCGAGTAGTTTGTTGCGTGTCGTATGTGTGTTTTGTGTCGCATCTCTGCTGCATGAGCGTTTATCAGCGGCGGGAGGGCGGTGCTGCATACTGTATGCTGCAAATTCGTTCCATCATAAGCATAAAAACTAAATATTTTCTCAGTTGTTAGTGAAACATGCATTTCCTCAAAGTAACGCCTTATACTAATCTAAATGTCGGAGGAGGCTTGATTGTGTTCCGGTTGCTGTAATGTGGGCGAATATGTGTATCGTGTAAATAGGAAATGCGTTTAAAATTAATCACTGAATTTCTTATAATCACAAGGTACAGTAACTGGCACTAAGCGAAACGTAGGGCGGTTCCGTGACAACGTCTTCACCCGGTGGCGACCCGAATCGAAGTGAGCTCCGCCGAGTGTGACTCTGACGCCACGACTCTGCCTAAGCGCACCGGAAATCCGCTAGGTGGCGCAGTTCCATTTAGCATATATATTTATTTTAAATATCAATCCATTTCTAATTAAGCAGCTTTATTGTTACGTCACATAATTCAGTAAATGCAGGTGAATGTACAGTCAAAGGTCAAAAGCCTACTGCCACCGTGAGTGATGTTCACACGGCAATGCGTAAATAATTTCATATTAATGTGCATAACAATGCGTGCGTACGCATAAACACACGCACGCGTACGCACACGGATAAAAATATGCGTGTGCATGTGTGTATAAGCGCTGCAGCGCAACCGATAATAGTCTTACCTAGATTATAGATTTAATAATCGTCATTCAAAGCCAGTAATCAAATAAGTATCCTACAGATTGCATTCAACACAAAGGAAGAATCCAGATGCTAATGCTTTGATCCGTAGCAATGTGGACTACAAACGGAGGTAACCAGCAAGCTAGAGCCAGATTAAACGTAGCCCGGTGAGAATGCTACTGAGAAAATACTGGCTTTGAACCTAGATTAACTTTTATAAGATTGTAAAGATATCTTTGTAATGTTGTTTTAGATTTTTTAAACAGGTAGGACGTTTTATAGTCACACTAAATCATAATGACAATATATGTTGATAATATAAAAATGAGTCGCTAAATGTGTTGTTGATTTTGTTAATGATAGGATAAGGTGCTTATGTAAACGCAAATAATAAAGATGAGCAATTTTCAAGGCGCTACTAATTTTGCGACCTCCGGTAGTTATTTATTAAAATTAAATTAGTTAGTAGATGGTAGAATTTAGAAAGACAAGTATTTGAAGAAAAACCGAGATCAATGAATATTCTCAACCATCCATATTAAAACTTTCTGGTTTATGAACTAAAATAATATAAATTCCGACATTTTCCATTCCATTAAGTTTCGAATAGGTATGACAATAATAGGCCACTACAGACTTCACAAGGCCCGACATTACATTCTATCGGATTTTAGTGGCCAGCTACGTGACATGTTCCGACGGCCGGATAAAGGCCGGATCGAGTTTGAATGTGGAACGCCACGCGCCATTTTGTTTCTTTTATTTTTTTTTCAATTCGAACAAAGTCAATTAGGTTTCGAATTTAGAAGTCTCGTGAATGTCTTTTTTATGCCAGTGTGAAGCTGTTTTATTTTGCACGTATTTTTAACTGTAATAGATTTTATGTGTCGTAAATAGGTGTCCTTTATAACTAAAACTCTATTTGTATCTAAAGGAAAAAATAAATTGCACTTGGAGAAGGATAAATGGGATTGTATTACTGATTGTAACTAAAATGCCATATATTTTAAACTAGCTGATACGTACCGCCTTAAATTCTTTTTTCTCACCTTTAAACCTTCACA